TGAGCAATGTAATGCAAATATGGTAGGTATATTCAGGGAGGCAAAGGAGGACAAAGGGTTTTTAAAGGAAAAATCAGGAAGGTTACATAAGCTGTTCTGAGGCAATTAACCTTGGTTATACAATCAGTAACAAGGGTAGCACCAGTCCAAGGTTAGACACGTTCCTGGGCTGATGTCCTTGCAGAAGTAATTTGTGTGTAAGGTTGCAGTGGCCTTTGTGCAGGTTGTCATTTTAGCTGAGCCTTTTGTGATGGGTCTTGTTATCAGGCACACGCACTTGAGAACCCTCTCTTCATGGCCCCAGCTCCGTTTGTCAGTGTGACACAAGTGACTTCATTTTGATTCTGACAACTTTCATACTATGAAAGGACAGCAGGAAGGAGGATTGAGCAGGAAGAGCCTGAGACTGCTATAAGTTCTGAGAAGACCTTGAAGAGGAATATGGGGAACCTTCCAGCCAAAGTTGTCCAGTGGCTCCAGTGCCCTGGAATGCTCAGACATGGGCTGGGAAGGGTGCAGCAACCACAAGCTAGCACTCAGAACAAAGGTCATAATGAAGTCAAAGGGTGGCAGCTGGGCTGGCAGTGGCCCGTATTCCCTACAACAAGTTCTTCTTCTGAAGAAGATCTGAATGACAAGTTTCTCTGGCTACACAAGGGCCACATAAATTTCTATGCTATAATAAAAAATATTTGATCATTGTTCCTGGTTCCTAGCACAGAGCTCCCCAAATTCTTGGGATTCCTTCACTGAGTGATAAGTGTCTTTTTTATGATAGTGGGATGACTCTTTGTGGGAGTCCCTAGGTAGCTTCAGGATAGAGGCTGTTCCCTTAAAAAAAATCAACTATGTGAATTAAAACCTAGAGAATTAAAACGTTCAGCTCTACCCCAACCTCTGAAAATCAAGTTTAGTCACCAATGGCCAGTGATTTAATCAATCCTGAGTATATAATAAATCTTTAATACAAACTCTTTGTTGAGACAGTCTTACTATGTTGCCCTTGGTAGAGTGCCATGGCGCCACAGCTTACAGCAACCTCAAACTCTTGGGCTTAAGAGATTCTCTTGCCTCAGCCTCCCAAGTAGCTGGGACTACAGGTGCCTGCCACAATACCTGGCTATTTTTTGGTTGTAGTTGTCCTTGTTTGGCAGGCCTGGGATGGTTTAGAACCTACCAGCTCTGGTGTGTGTGGCTGGCACCCTAACCACTGAACTACAGGTGCTGAGTCAGCTTTAATAAAAACTCTTAAACCTCTAGGCTGGGTATATTAGAAGTTGGTGAACACATTAAGGCACCAACCCAGAGAAGATATGGAAGTTCTTTATACCCCTCCCACCACCACCACTCCCTTTCTAGGCATCTCTTCCATTTGACTGTTCCAGTTGTATCCTTTGTAATAAAACTGATTTGTAAGTTTCCATGAATTCTGTGAGTTGGTCTAGTGAATTATCAAGGGGAGAAGACATGGGAAGCCCCAAATTTGTAGTCTGCTGGGCAGAAGTACAGAAGTACAGGACTCCCTTTGTAATTAATGCCTGAAATCTGAAGTTGGAGCAGTCTTATGGGACCAGGCCTTAATTTGTAGAGTCTGCACTAACTCTGGGTAGTATCAGAACTGAATCAAACTGTGGGGCACCCAGTTGGTATTACAGTTAATCGGTATGGGAATGACATATTTGGTGTAGAAAAACCACACAACTAATGATCCTGTAAGATGTAGCTCAAATATACCTCTTGGGAAAGATTTTCCTATTCTTAGAACTAGCTGAAGGCACTGGCTTTCCTTTGTAGTACACATAAAGATTTATTCATATAATTTTCAGTTGAATGTCTGCCCCACAAATTAGACAGCCAGTTTTATAAAAGCTTTCTTGTTGAATAGTTATTAGTTCCTATGTTTTTAATTATTCTGAACTAAAGATCCTCTCTTATTACAAGGTTGTTGTGAGGATTAAGAGTTTATATACATAATATACTTTTACACAATAAGCACTAGGTGGGTGTTACAGCTCATTTTTAAGTCTCTACCATATTCAGTATGAAGTAGACCACAAATGTTAAAATAAGCTGAATTTGTACATAAATTCTGTGAAATTTAACTATATGATAAAATTCTATCTTACAGGTTCATTTTCAAAATTATCTTTTTATTTCCTTCAAATAGTAGCAGGCTAAAGGACCAGGTCTGGTTATAGATAAGCATCTATTACAGCAAGAGCCTACTGACCAGAAGGCGGTAAAACCTTTGTAAAGGTTTTGTAAAGCCTTTGTCTTGTGCTTATCTAGATGTAAGTGTAAGATATTTACAAATAAGCAAAATACTGAAAGGGAGGATAAAGAACTAAATTTTAAGCTTATGCAAGCTTTTTTCTCTCTAAGCCTATGTAGATAGCTAATAATATTTAGGGATAAGATTAAAATTACCAACTAAATATTAGGAAATCCAATATGAATTAGTGAATTAGTAAATACTTGTAATAAATCCAAATTCTGACAAAAACTTAATCTTGCCTAAAAGTCTATCAGAGGTCCTTGGAATCATTTAATACATTAAGAAATTGTTATATATTTTTTACTTGCGTATGTGTTTATATGTAAGCAGGTGTTTTAAATCAGTTTGTTGTAATAAGGCTCAAGCCTTAAAGATGACAGCAGAGAATTTGGTCAATAAACATTTGCTAAATGAATGCAAGGCTACCAGTACCCAACATTGACTGGATATTTGCTTTATGAGGCATAAAGTCATGTTTTATGCATACACACATGCTAAAATAAAATTCTCTTTGAGGGTAGTATTGTCTCATTTTGAGGAATGAAGAAACTCAGGCACAAAGTAGGTAAACATCTTGTTCAGAAAGTAAGTAACAGCAAGCAAAATCAGAACTTGAACCCAAGTCTTCCTGGCTTTGGGGAATGGGCTATGAGGCAGCAAGGCCCCCACAGCCTGGGGAGGCATTTGGGGAATGACTGCCCACCAAGCTCCTTCTCCTCCTTTAACAACAAACATTCTGTATATCTGCCAGAAGTCATGTAGCCCATTGCATACTTTCCTTTGTATGGGCAAGCACACAGCTTTTCCTCCTTGAAGTTAATCCTCACTGCAGCTGTTAAGATTTACATTGTTAAAGATACCTTATAAATAAAGCTGTTTCTGTAATCTGGTGCTACTGCAGTCATCAGCTGCATCAGACCTCCCAACCCCATCTTCTCTTTTGTATCTTGTGTCTCTATCACTTCCCACCATTTCCACTCAGGTTATCTTCCTGCGCTGGTTCACAAAACCTGGCATTAAAGCCCATGTTCCTTATCCCTACATGGAACTGCTTATATAAATTAATGGAAGGATGCATACTGTGAGTGAACAAACGAAGCCTTACAATAATACCAAGGCACTTAATTTATACTCTTTTTCTTAATTTTCCATCAAAATGCTTCTGCTGTATCCCAAAAAAGAAATGAAAACCTTCATTTTTTAGTTAATTTTACTGAAATGTTATTTGTCATCCATTCCATTTGGTTTTATACTTCCAGGAAACAAATGAAAAGTGAATATAAGTGACCATTATTCAGCATGTAAGAAGAGTTCAGAGATGTCTACACAGATCTGAGTTCTTAAGCACCTGAAGGGTAATGCATTTTATAATTTTCTTACTACAACTGGTTCGCATGAAAAGAACAAACTCTGTGAGATAACTGAACTCCTTAAGGTACTTTTTAATGATTTTTTTTTTTGGAGACAGTTTTATTATGTCACCCTCTGTAGAGTGCTGTTGCATCACAGCTCACAGCAACCTCAAAGTCTTGGGCTTAAGCAATTCTCTTGCCTCAGCCTCCCAAGTAGCTGGGACTGTAGGCTCCACAACACCAGCTATTTTCTTGTTGCAGTTGTCATTGTTGTTTTAGCTAGCCTGGGCCAGCTGGAACCCCCTAGCCTCAGGGCAAGTGGCTGGTGCTGTAACCACTATGCCATAGGCATGGAGCCTTTTTTAATGATTTGCAAATCTTAGGAATCACAAAATAGTTCGTAGTGGCATCTTTAGGGTACTGAGGCATGAATAATCAAAAAACTGCTCCTTTCTGAGCAATTTGGTCCATCAAGGTTCTGGGGGGTAATTACAAACAGGTGCAGCTGTTAATGCTCATGAAATGAGCGTACAAATAAGTTATATCTAAATAAATGCTTTAATAGAAAAAAGCATGTAAAAGCATGTTTTTTTAATAGAAAAAAGCCATGTAAACAGTATTTGTCACTAACCACTCATGAACATGCAACCATGTCCGTGGCCTCTCTTACTATTAAATGCTACCACTTACACACGTGTAGGTTACTTGAAATTAATGAGCTTCTTCTATGCTGGTGACACCAATTCTGAGAGAAATGCAGCAATCTCTAAATGATCTTCCCCATCTAAGGGTAACTTAAATCTGAGTAATATTAAAGGCCTGATAGTTTCAAAAGTTAAAGGATGAAAGAAAATTTATTTTATTAGTTATAAGGTTATATACTGTTACTCAGCAACCAGCATTTGTCTTCCATGTAACCAGAAGTCAATGAAAAGGGAGAAACTACAAATAAAACTATTTGGATAGTTTTCAATTCACGGAGGTGGCACTTCAGAAGCAGTCATGCCTTTACTAACCACTCTGTTGTGTGAACCCGCTTCATTCCATTGGGTGGCAAGAGAGGCTTGCTGACACTTTACATAATAAATGTTGCCGAGATACCAACTGCAGTTCCTGAACCAAAGGCCAAAAATACAGAGGGTGCCAGAAAAAAAAGAAAAAAATTAAAATGTATGTATTACTTTTCTAAGTTATTTTGTAGGAATCCTCAGTGGTGAAATGTACCTAGACCTCCGACCTGTACATTCATTTTACCTGCAATTCATACATTTTTGAGAATCAATTGATTTTATTGACAAGATCACTTAAAATGTGTATACTTTTTTTGGCACCCCGGTAGACGCTCCCTGTCTGGTCTTGTATAAGGCACATACCAACGCCAGGACAAAAGGCACTCCAGTCTCCCACCGCCTCACTCTCAGCCTCCCTCCTCTGGTGCCGAGAGGCCAGCCGATCTGGGAGTCTTGCGATGCGATCTTGCTAACTAGAGGAAGCATTCAATCGTCTGCCCGGTATCACACTTGGCCTTGGCCCTTACCCTGGCATTTGATGGAGTGATTCCATTTAGAGCAACTTTTTTTTTTTTTAACCATATTTCCATGCCGGTTAGAGTATGAGTGCTGAGATACCTGTAATATTAGTAAGATGCCAAGGAATTTGAAAGGAGTTCCTTGACAAGGCTGGGGTTTGAATATTTAGACGACCCCCCAAGCTGGCAGGCTTCGTTTATCTGGCTATTTTGGGGTGAGTTTACATAGGCAAATATCTTGTTACTGGGCCCCTGTGGTTTCAAATTCAAGAGAAAAAAAGGTGCCTGTAAGTTTCAGCTTGGGCTCCCTCCCCCAAACCAGCTTGTAACTTACTGCCTGTGGCCGGCATGGTCTGTGCTGTCCCTCGAAGGGCCCTCGGGGGCGGACTCCAAATCTCGCCGCTGGCTGGGCAGCGGGTCCAGCCCCCCGCGCCGCCCTTGCGGGTCCTGGGCCGGCCGGGAGGCAGGGGAGACATGGAGGCCGGAGCCCACCACCTTGCTGCGGGTGTACATAGTGCAGGGTCCGCGGGGCCCAGGCAGCCGGATCTCGAGACGCGGTTCCGAAGAGCAAGGCAGCGGTTTTAACAGCTGAGTTTCGGTTTCTCGCTACTAGCTGCAAACTCGCCCACCCCACCCCTGGGGACTTCCCCATTCATTCTCTGCCGAGGTGACACCTGATGAGGCGCAGGTCAACAGCTCCGCTGGGGCACGGAGACCAGATGGCTTGGCTGGATACCGTAGGGTCAGGTTTAGGGTCTCATTCCCACAGGATAATTAGGATCAATAGCCGTGATCAGCCACCGAAATCTGTGAGCCAGTAACTGCAGGTGACTAGAATCCTGAAAGATACTTTGGGAACTTCTTGGTAACTATAATTTGAGGTTACTGCTGCACGGTTGAAACTCGAACAATAAATACATTAACCTTAAAACGCCAGAGAGTAAATCCAAAACTAAGATCGTCTAAACAAAACATTGCCTTTTATCAGTAATGACTGCTGTTTGCTTATTACCAATGCTGATACTTTCAGTTTTGAGGAAATAGAAAGTGAAATCAAAAGAATACAAACAAAAACCACAAAGCCACAGTCTAATGAACAAGCTGAGGTTAAACAGGATTCTCAGTGCCCCCCCCCCCAAGCAGTTGACCAGGTAGTCAAGGAATGGGCATGGGACTGCTCTGGGGGAGGGGGGAGGGACATTGTGCAATGATTCCAGTAGAGTGTGGGGACTTTTAAAAATATGGATTTGCAACACTGTGCCTGAGGGGGAGCTCCGACATTCTTATCTCGAAAAAGCTCCCAGATGATTCTGATGTGTGCCTGGCTGATCGCCATGGTCGCGATGCTGGTTATACATGTACAACAATAAGTGAGTCTCTTTCCTCCTTTGTGTTCTAGGAGGCAGGTCAACAAATGCGAATGCTACCAGCGTATAAATGACAGGTGGATGTGTGAGATTAGTTGGCCCAAAGGGAAACTAAGGATTAGCCTGATGAGTAATTCAGGAAAAGGGGCATTTGAGAAGGAACCACAAAGGACACAGGTATTCACCAGGAAGGAGATACTATGCCAGAGGCTTGGGGCTTAAAATGACATGGTATATACCTAAATCCTGGTGGTGCCACACGGCTGGAGCACCCCACCCAGCCCCAGATCAGAGAGCCACTTAGGCACTGCACTGTCTTGTTTATATTCCTGGTGCTTAGAACAGAATGACAAATGTAGGTTAGATAGCTACTGAAAGAATGAAATGAAGCACCAGCAAGTGCCTGGAGTGCGACGAGAGAGGGGAGGGTAGTAGGGTTATGGTAGGAAAGGAAGTCAGGCTTTCTATGCCTTCCCCGGGTGTTAGAGCTCTGCGGAGACTCCTGGGGGGTCTCACATTTCAGTCAGCATCAGAACAACCTGGAGGCTTTAATTAAAACAGATCTCTGAGCCCCAGCTCTGGTGTTTCTGATTCAATAGGTCTTAGAGGATGCCCCAGGATTTGTAAGTCTAACAAGTTTCCAGGTAATGCCAATGCTGCCAGCCCTGGACCGCTCTTGAGGAACCACAGCTGTAGATAACGTGGAAGGCACAGACGGTTTTTCAATAGAGCAGCTACATAATATCTGTTTGAGAAAGAATGTTAGCTCTTAGCAATGTGAAAGGGAGACTGAAAGATGAAGAGACTGAAATCCAGGAGCTAAATTAAGAGTCTAATTACTATAATCTGGGTAAGAAATCCAGATCTGAGCTCAGGCAATCTAGAAAGCCCAGGGCAAAATCAAGACATTTCAAATGAAAGATTAACATATAATTAGATAAAAGACTAGATACGGGGAAGAAGTGAGCAGCAGACACAGCAGAGAGATGGGGGGAGTCGGCTTTTACAGTGCTGGGTTTGAGAATAGCTCTGCCACATACTAGCCACATGACCAAGGTCAAGTCTCTTAATTCCCTCAGAGGCCCAGTTTTCTCATCTGCACAATGTGACGTGAAGTTATAATACTTATGGTGTGGGGTACAGTGAGGAATAAGGAAATCATTCCCATCAGCACTTCTCAAATGGAGCTGCTTTTTCTTCCAGCAGACATTTGATAATGCCTGGAAATATTTTTATGAGGCCTGGAAGAGGGTAGGTAATGTTGGCATCTAGTGGGTAGAAACCAGGAATGCTGCTAATCATTCTACAATGCACAGGACAGGCCCCCTCAGCAAAGAATTATCTTGCTCACAATGGCAATAGTAGCATTAGTAGTTGAAAAATCTTGATCTATATGATATGCCTACCTTAGAGCCTCAGTAATTTAATGGTTGCTGTCCTTCTGATGACATTAAGGTTTTAGCTTTGTGACGGGGTAAATGGCAGAAAAATTAACCATTCACTCAGAGGAGGGACAAGTTTGGGGAGAAGGTGAAAGAATTTGTTTAGGAACTGTCACGTTTGAGGTAACTACAGGGTAAGAAAGGCAGGCGTGGAGCCCAGCAAAGTTGGGACCAGCCTGGCCTTTCTGGAGGCCATCTTCTTTTAAGTCATTTCTACTGGGAAAATACCACTGAAACTCTTGTTCCAGGGGAGAAAAAAATTATTTTGGTAGTCGGATTAAATTAAATTAAAATTATTTTGGTAGGTGGATTAAATTAAATTAAAATTATTTTGGTAGTCAGGTTAAATCAAAGTTTGAGTAAAGAAAACCCCACATCAGGGAAAACCAGTTCTCCTAAAGGACCTAGTATTTTGACTCAAACTGCGCAAAAGCAATTTGTGTAACCAAAATGTCTGCACCCCTCTAACACACTCTGACATTTCAAAAAGAATATGCTTAGTTGACCATATTTATTTTACAACACAACCACATCATATGCCAAATTTTCAAACCTGAGGTAGAAATGGAGGATAATAGTCAAAGTCTAAATATCTTACTCTGGTCCCTTCTCATTTTGCCATATTCTCCAAGAGAATCAAAAAATGTGAATGTGATTGATTGTTGTGATAGAAGTCTACAAGTTCCTTTAGAATGCCCTAGAAGGGGTTATCTACTTGGTGTACTGCCCATTCTCTCACCTTAGATGTAGGTGTTTGAGTGAGACTGGGGGATGGCTTTTTACCAGGTGGGTTTTGGGGTACATGCCTCTGTAACCATGGGTAGTAGAGAGACACAGAGGTTAAGTGTGGGAGGGTTCTGTACCCCCATCCCTGCTTTAATGGTACACTTGAGCCCCTTGTTTCTTCTATGGGCTGCTGCCTAATTTGATTTGAAGCAAGAATTCCATGCTTTAAAAGTTTAAAAAATGGCTAGGGGCCATAACTTAATGGTTAGAGCCCAGGCCTTACAAACCAGTAGTCATGAGCTTGAGCCTTGCCTGGGACTGATTTGAATAAGAAAAAACTTTGAAAAACCACTATACTAGACAATTACCTAGAAATATGTTTCAAGGAACATGAGAATGACCTGAAATCTAGTGAGATTGCTAGATTGCCTGAAAGTTGGCCAATTAGAGATTCATTTAGGAAATGGTTTTCTCTTAAAATATAACCGCCGCTGGGAACTAATCATTTATTCATTCCTTTGTGTAAATGACTTTAATCTGAGAAAAAGACATTTTGGTTGGAGAAGAAGGAAACTGAGTGAAAAAAAAGAAAAAGATTCAAAAAGTTGTGCAAAGGAAAATGTAAAATGTAGCACCGTGAAGGAGTGGAAATTCAGGAGTACGGTGAGCAATTTTAGCCAGCCAGATGAGCCTGAAAAGAGAAGATTAACGCAAAAAGAAACTTCACCAATTTGTTTTGCTGTTAACATGTCCAAGGATATCTTTATCTTCCAAGGAAATAAATGGAAATATATATCTGATTTGCCTTAGATTACTCCTTCATGTGTATAAATATTTAGATACACAAACTCTAAGCCTTTGCTTGTTATAGAATATCTCAATGAAAAATCTTAGTTTGTAAAAATTCTAAGAATTTAAATTTGATTCTTTAGTGGGAAGTTAGATTAATCCAATAGACTTTGGACAACAGGTATCTTAAAGGTGTTTTCGGTTTTTTTCTTTGTTTGTTTTTGAGATAGAATCTCTCTATCTGGCATCACAACTCACTGCAACCTCAAACTCTTGGGCTCAAGCGATTCTCTTGCCTCGCCTCCCTAATAGCTGGGACTACATACAGGCACCTACCATGACACCCAGCTATTTTTGGATTTTTCTTTTGAGAAAAATTTGAAAACTCTGTTTTTAGATTTTTCATTATTTTTCACTCTAGCTCAGGGTGGTCTCGAACCCATGAGCTCAGGCAATCTGCCCGCTTCGGCCTCCCAGAGTGCTGGGATTACAGGCTTGACTATTCTAACAAAGGAGTTATGTAAAACTCACCTCATATTCGATATCTCCTCGTGTGTGTGTGTGTGTGTGTGTGTGTGTGTTTGAGCACATTTGGATTGTGATGAATTTCATAGCCTTTAGAAATTCTTCAAATTCTACCATAGAATTGTGGAATGCTGCAACTATAAGTCACTATAGGTTCGTGGAAGAGTAATTATTGAATGCATAAACATATACCACCCATAGTCTCAGACCCTGGAACGGCTACAGTGAAGAGACAGAACCTTATTATTCTAGCTTCATGTTTAAGATCATCTAACTACTTCATTTTAAGCACAAGGAGAAACAAATGAAATGACTTGCCAAGATTGTATACAAGTCAGTGCCAGGGTCAGAACTTGAATTTAGGTCTTCTGAGATCAAGTCTAACTTTTCACACTTTGGAAAACAATCCCTACAAAATATCTCTCGTGACAAAATTCCGAATTTATAATGTTTTTTACTTACAATTTTTCCA